TGCGCCCGTGACTCCGCGGGGCCGGGGCCGGGGCGCAGGGAGGCTGACAAACGGGACTCGCAAGGGAGATGCGCCCGGAGATTTCAAGTCGAAATCCGCCGCGTGGTGTTTGGGGTCCCCGCAGCCGAGGGGCCGCGCCAGCCCTTTCCCGCGCTCTGAAAGCAGCCTCCCGTCCAGCCCGGGGGCCTCGCATCTAAACCCGTGAGAAGTGCTGACCCAGGACGTGTTAGAGCTCTCTCGCGCTCGTCTCTCCTGTCCCTTGCCCTGGAAAACAGGAGGAGGTTTCGGAGCCTCGGTTCTGGCGCCCTTTCGCTCTTTGAGGGGGAAGGTTTAACTCCGAAGACGTGTCCTTGGTTTAGTTAATTAAAAGACCAAAACAAAACTTCAGTTATTTTTCCCAGAGTTACTTATTTATCCAGCAGTTGACAGTGTGCCTGTGAAGCCTGGCCCATGATTTTGGAGCTGAACAAGTGCCTTGTATACAGATTATGCGAAGTACAGGTTAAAACAAAACAACAAGCAGAATGAAGACTCTGGCAACTAAAGATAATCTGTGACGCATCTACTCTGATGCACTTATTTTTTTTTAATGGAGACTCCCATGAAAATAAACACCTTGCATCAGTATACTGGACCAGTTTTGTGACCATTGGGTCATCACCTTGGACTTGCTTCCTCTTCACTGAGGAAATGAGAATAAAACTGTGGGAGTCAGGATAAATATTTTGTGATGATTGGGGTGGCCGAGGCTGTACAAGGACTTCATCACAAAGTCCTTATTTAGCCAGACTTTTGCAGATGCCAGTGAGAAGCTTGCCTGAATAAGGGCTATGTACTGTACGGAGCCCACTGTTGCTGACAGTGGTTGAAATATTCCCCATGGCACTCTGGGCAGATCTGTCTTCTTCCAGGCAAGAAGTGAGTGTCATTAGTCCTGCAGAATCTGGCTCTGTCAGTACAAAGTCCAGTTTCTGCTTCCATCTATGCGATATGCTCCATCACTCTTCATCACATTGCACAGAGCCATTCTGAGTAGAAGGGACTGTCAGTGATTCTCAACCAGGGTGCCCCAAGAGCCTTTCCAGGGTGCCCTGAGGTGCTACTCAGTATGAGTACTGGTAGGTGTACAAACATGATTTACATGATAAAATCAAGGTTTTCAACTAGGAATCCGCAGTGTTAAAAACATTCTGACCTGTTGGGGTCTTTCTGCATCCCTTGCAACAGAAAAGCTGTTCTACTATTCTTCCATAATCTGTGAGCACCAACCCTTCGGCTGTGGCATATGCAAGATGATGTTATGCTCTCAATCCAGTTTCTAGTACAGAACTACTGTAAGAACTGTGGGTGTCATAAGTAGGGCATGGGAGCAGGGTGCTAGAGATGTAGGCTTGTTGCTCATGCTAATCTAGATTTCATGTGTGATACACCTCTGTGCCTTTATTACCCAGTCTGTGAAATGAGGCTATTGGCATTTATTTTCAGCTTTAAAAAATGCTGTTGTCAATATTTGCAGGATGTCTGAATACTAGCAGAGAGGCCAAAAGCAGGGAATGTTCAGGTTATACAATCTGCCGTCCTTACTGCTGCGTTTATTCCTAGTTTCTGCTGAGGAGACCAGCCTCACTGCTACAGTCAAAAGTTTCCTGTTGCCTGTAGAGGTGGTTCCTCCAGATGTTGGCAGGGCACTGTGCAGAAACTCACTGCTCTTCCATATGACATTTGGGGCATGTCAGCAGGGCATGGTGGGGAGGCTTGCATTCATACTGCCCATTTTGTTTGAGTTCTCTAAACCAAACTAAAAAAGGTTTCGTCCTCCAGGACTGTCAGCCTAGTACATCTCAAAGGGACTAAATAATATGTCAGAATGAGAACTGCTTAGTTCCGATACTCTCAGAGAGTGTACTTGGTACCTGTGTTGGTATGAGACAAGAAGACATACAAAAAACTAGAAGTCTCTTGTGATTTCCCAGTTGGTCTAATAAAAAGCATAATTTTGGAACCAAAGTTCTAGTTTTTTTTTTTGTGCGATACTCTCGGAGAGCACTTTCCTCTCCTGCAGTGACCTTACATTTTCTGATCTTTCGGCCTCTGCCCTGAGCTGCTGTTGTGCATCCCTTTGTGTAATTTGGGAGATAGCTTTGGGTTATTTATGTAAAGTGTGATAGAAATTAACTTGGAGAAGTAAAAAAAAAAAAAAAAAAAAGGTGTGCGCCAACATCATGTAACATGGCTCATGTCTCCTAATAGGAAAGGAAAGGCCTAAATCAGCGTAGCTTTCCTTTTTTATATAAGTAATTTAATTGAAATCATCTACAAAATATTTAGGTACAACTTTATTCTTTGGAAACTTTTCCTCATTGTTAGTTGCTGCAGTCTGATCAGGATAAAATGTTGTTTGGAAGGAAAACTCTGTGTGAGATTCACCTGCCTGAACCCTGATTTGTTTAGGAAAAATGTTGTAAAGAGAGGTCCTGTAAAGAGAGACTGTGTGCTGTCAAAGTAGAAAGAATGTCAAAAGTATAAAGTTACGTGAACTTCCTGTTAAATAACATCTAGAGCATAATACCAAACTCTGTTTCCTACAAATTATGTCTGTCTTCCCCTGATATCCTCTTTAAAAAAAGAAGACAAACAACTTGATTTTGCATTTGGCAGAAATACCACATACTTTTCAATGATGTGTATATGTATTTGGGAGTTGAGGGGGAAACTGCACTGCAATAAAAACTCCTATTTCCCAAGTTCTGTCAGCGCATGGTTCTGAGAAGGTTAGTCAGTAGCACAGAAAATTTTATAGATCAAGGGATGCAGAGAGATTACAGTTGATTTAAATAACTTTCCTGAAAAGGAAGGAGCTCATTGTAACTGGAAAAATAATTAAACGCAAGTACAATGCAAAATGACCAATGTCTTAACTATAACTTAAGAATGTTGTAACTATAACTGCCATCTTCATAGTCTGCCATAAAACAAGATTCAGAGTTCAAATTCACCTGTGAAGCAAGCTGATCAAATGCTGTTGAGTTTTGGGGAGTTGCATCCACTTGCATCAGAAGTGAATTTATCTTGAGGAATTTGGTTTCTGTTCAAATGCTTATTATTCCTGCAAGGTAAGTCTTTTACAAGGGGGGGAAGGGTGGAAAGGGTTAACTAACTAGATTCAGGCAGGAAATCTTGTGCCTTGTTATACCTTCAAGTGAGATCTGCATTCCTTGCCTCCTTCTTTGCATAACTGGGAAGGGTCTTCTGGAGAGAAGTACAGTGAATGGGAACTTGTCACAAGCCTTCATTTACAATTCTGGGGCTAGTCAAACAAGTGACAGTGACTGAATTTACTTCAAATCTACATTCTTATCCATGTGAATTCTGCAGGGAGCTGTGCCCAGGATAGTCATCATCCTGAGGCCTTATCTAATTTACATACACACATTGCTACTTGCTCTGTAGTGATACCTATTAATCCACTAATTAAAGGGGCAATTATCTTTGAGTTGTTTGCACCCAGTGAATTGGTGCACCAAGTGATTGTTTTTTCCCTAAGCCTTGAGAAGAAGAGCAAGGAAAACATGGCATTGCAACTAATGTTCAAGCCTGACCTGGTCATGGTCTGGTGGTGGGTACTCAGCACAAAGAACGACTGCCTGATCCTGATTTCTATGTCAGATACACTGTGATCACTACTTGTTATAGTAAGTTTGTATGTTTGTTTTTTGTGAATTGCTACCAGCCACCGGCAACAGATCTGGAACAGAGCATGAGAGCTGCTAGAGAGAATTTCACTGACTACTCAGATGGTCAGACTACTCTTGATTTCCTCCCCCCCCCAACAACTCATAATTCTTTAATAAAAGTTGAGTGGTTTGTGAAGAGCACTCCAGTTGGACACCCCTTGAGACTGATATGATTTGCAACTGTCATATTACAAATTGTTGCATTTCCTACCTGCCAGGAGCTGAGGTGCAAGTTAAATGTCCTTCTACAACAGAATGTGACTCCAAATTAAAATAACGTGGGAACCTGTATTCTCTTCAGCTACAGCCATGTTATCAGTTGTTGAAGGAGAAACAATAAACCCTGATTTTGTGTCTTGACAGATACTGTAAGTACTAAAATGAGTACTTTAGTTCCCCTACCTCTGCCCCTGCCTCCTTGTTTATAGTGTCTGAGGGTCTGACAGTCTTTAATGTATTTATCTTCGCATGTCTCCTGTGTGTGGGGGGGAGGGGGGGAGTTATCTACCAGTTATGGAAGAGCAGCGGAAGTACAGAAGCAAGCACAGGGCAAACCCAGAAGTGAAGACTAGAACTAGATTCTTGTGCTCTAACCTCCTCCTTCAGAAGTATTATGAATTGCTAAGCATGAGTTAGGTTAGCACAGGGGTGGGCAAAATGTGGCCCCGGGGCCAGATGCAGCCCGCCAGACCATTCTATCTGGCCCACAGAGCCCCATCAAAATCAATATTTATCTGCCCCTGGCTGCCTATCATCCGGCCCTCAATGACTTGCCAAAACTCAGTAAGTGGCCCTCAGCTCTAAATAATTGCCCGCCCCTGGGTTAGCAGAATCTGTCCCACATGCCTGTCTAAAATAAGTTTTGCCATATTATTAGCTGAAGTATAAAGTTTCCCTGTGCCCCCCTGCCTCCCACATTGTGAATGCATGTATACAAGATATAAAAATCACCATTGTAGCTTATTTGGGCTGGGGAACCAAAACAAGGTACACCAGTATAAGGCACCTTAACATTGATATAGTTATATCTAGATTTAGGTTTTTACTGGCTTCTGGGCTTTTACTGGCTTAGGTGTCTAGGCAAAATTCACACTCCTGTCAGTGCTGTCAATAATACTTAAATGCAGACCAGCCCTCAATATGCAGTAGGATTGTTTGTTTGATTGGGGGCTACAAGAACAAGCTAACTATGTTAATGATATGGGATCCCAAAGAGTTTAACTATTCTATAGCTCTTTTGTAGAAAAAATTTAGCATGAGAATTGCCACATTAGGACAGATCATTGAGTCCAGGCACTGCCATCCCAGCATTTGCTGATGCTAAATGCTTCAGCTGTAGATCTATGATAGGCACTTAAAACTTAAATAATAAGTTTTTGTCTTGGCTGCTTGCTATGCCTTGGAAATGTGAAAAAGCATGTTGCTAGGTGCAAAGAGAGAGCGATTCATGGCACACCCAACTCTGGAGAAACCTGACCAGTAAATGGAATCACTCTACACATTTATCCACAACCATGTAGTAGTCCAGAGAAGCAAGTACATCAGGAACCTACTGGTAGGCACACAGGAGGAGTGATATTATTCTGAATTTGTACAGCACTTATCACAGTGGTAACCCTGCTCCTGACTGCATACTCCAGGTGCTACTTAATGCAAATACATATCACATATGTTTGGCTTTTTTAATGTTACTAAACTATTTGACTCCACTGTAGTAGTGAATTCTGTAAATTAGTTGTGCACAAAAAGAACATGCCTTCTATTGTATCTTTTAAATTTCTGATTAAAAGATGGATATAGAAGGGGACTTGAGCAGAGAATGCAAGAGGCATCCAATTAATTGGGAAATGAAGCAACTATGATTTGTAACTACCAGATCTTCATAGCACAAGTGGTGCTCTCTGTTAGAGGTTTTCTGTGCAGGCACGAGCATCCCTATTCCCTGTGTGATTTTGACTGGCTCTCTACTTGAGTGTCCTGATGGTCCATGCATCAAGTACCTCATGAAGGCATTGCTGTGCAGCTGGAGGAGCAAAAACCCCGGTTATAGAGCACTGATTGATGTTGAAATGCCAAAAGGCTTGAACCCTACATAGCACTGTTTTTACATGGATATATGTTGTCACTTACACTGCTTAAGTGTTGATTTCCTGTAGCATACTTACTGAAAGCTGTTACTTACCACTAAGTTTTGCTATTGTTCTCCCTGCATTATGATCTTTCAGCTTCCTTCTTTGCCTTTAGTCTCTCTGTTCATTTCTGCTTCCCTCCCTTTTTTTTTTTGCTCCACACTTTTTTCCCTCCTACTCCCCACCCTCCCCTGTACGCACCTTACACCCTTTCTTTTTCTGATGGTGTTTTCCATTAAATACATTGTTGAATCTTGTATATGTACAGGATTGTGGTAGCTGTAGATATCTGTGCTAGTTCTAAAACATATGCTGTCACTAATGAGGCTGAAGCTTGGTTTACCTGCTTTGGTCGTTTACCTGTCTGTTTTGGCCGAGGGACAGAGGTGATTTAATACTTGTTGGTCAAAGGGCCTTAGAAGCAATCTTGGGATAAAGATAATCCACAGTAGTCAGTTTGTAGCATAACCCAAATTCAAATCATGCATACTAAAGCAAATTAATTATCTGGAGTCTTCTTTTTTTCTGGTTGGGAATCTAGTATTTTGCCATCTTTTATTTCACCTGATGTGAACCATGCTTGATTCGGGTGAGCAGAGCTAACATGACCTGGATTACTAGCACCAGGAAGGGAGTAGCAATATTGACCCTGATATTGGTTGTAGGAAGATCAAATTGTAAAAGTGACTATGGGCACTGACAGGTGTTTGGGCCCCCGCTCGTCTAAGTCATGGCACCATGACTTAGAGCCAACCCCCACCCCAAATCAGGAAAGAGGGGGCAGGATCGAGCCTGCTTGCAGGCATCAGCAAGCCCAGGAGCTGCCTCTCTCATGGAAGGGGTAGCCTGAGCTGCTGGCTTGCCTGCCCTAAGCTTGGGGGTGGGGAGGCAGTGGATTGGAGCCCAGATCCACCCCCAGCTGAGGGGTGTGGAGGGGGGGCAGGAGGCAGGGGTGCTCCAGTCTACCTCCCCACCCCCAGCTCAAGTCTGCCCAGCCACCAACTCGCTGCTGCTGTTACGAATCCAGATTTGTAGAAGCTTGTTTCTTGCCAGATTTGATGTTAGTGCCAGGCCCCCAACATTTGCAAACCAAACATTTCTAGGACCCTAACTGGAGGGAAAAAAAAAATTCTATGATTTTTTTTTTTTTATTTTTTTTTTGAGTCCTAACTTAATTCGGTTATCTCTTACATTAAATGTTAGTTACTAACCAAGCTAAGACTTCATAAATCAACAAGAAAAAGGGTTGATAAAGTTAAATATGAAGACAACTCCTTTCTGGCTCCTGCTAGTGTTAGCTCTCAGTTCCTTTTGATTTACTTATGTAAGAGACAAAAGGGCTTACGCTACACACAACACAAGCATAGTTGTCTGAACCTGACCTACTAGAAGTTCACTGTTTGGAAAATCCCTGATTTTGTTTTAACGTTCTTGATATAACACTCATCAGGCTAATGACATTCTTTACCTTTTTACATTTCCAAAATATTGGTACTATATTAGCTTCCCCCCCTTCCCACCTCCTGAAACGTCCTCAGTGTTCTAAGGTTCTCTAAAAATCCACATCAACAAAAGAGAGCACTTCAGTTACAACTCCTAAAACTTTGTTGCAACTTAAATATTTTTCACTCAACCGGTCTATATAAGTTTGTAGTGGCTGCTGCTGTTTAGGTATTGTTAGAAATATTTACTGAGCACTTCTGCATCTTTTTTTCATTGTTGTTGACAAGTCTACCGTGTCCCTATAGTAATAAAATATTACAAGAACTCTTTTTGTTCCTGATGTACTTTAAAAAGCAGATTCTGTCTTGTCTGTTGGCTCCTCTTATTGATTTTTTTTTTTCTATAATCCCTAGCATGTCTTTTATATATCCTGCTATCTATCCAGTCTCCTTTCTTCATTTTGTTAAATGGTTTTTATTTTCCTTGTTTTTCCTTTCTATGCCAGGGCTTGGGTATATTGAAACTACTGAAACATTCTTTCTCAGTTGTAGGTGTTTGTCTTTTGAACTTCTAGTAAAATGTTTTTTAACAGTTTTCAGTTGTCATTTAGATTTTCCTCTTTGATTTTCACCCCCCCTCCCCCTCCCTTGGTTGAGGGGGTTTATTGTTTTCAATTTTAGTGAAATTAACGTTTTAAAAGCACCATGTGTGTGCACGCACACTTGATTTAGAGCTGCTTATTTTTCATGCACAAACAGATAAGCCATGATCATTATGAACTATCCATGTATACTACTTCATTTCCAGTATTTGTTATGGCCACTTGTGGTGACAGTGTCACGTACATTGTCTGGGAAACTGTTACTGTTTCCCCCAAGATGCTGCAGTTATTTAACAACTCCTATATTCTGTGTCAACAGTGTTAATGGAACTGATTTCTTACATCTATTGATGATAATTTGTTGTTTGTGTTTTGTCTTACTAGGTAACCGGAGTCAAACAAGACAATGGATTGGGGATCACTGCAAGCTGTGGTGGGAGGTGTGAATAAACACTCCACCAGCATCGGAAAGGTCTGGCTCACTGTCCTGTTCATTTTCCGTATTATGATCCTCATAGTGGCTGCAGAGAAAGTCTGGGGAGATGAACAAGAAGATTTTGTCTGTAACACACTACAGCCTGGATGCAAAAATGTTTGTTATGATCACTTTTTCCCCATCTCTCATATTAGACTCTGGGCCCTTCAGTTGATCTTTGTCTCAACTCCTGCACTTTTGGTGGTAATGCATGTTGCTTACAGACGACATGAGAGGAAGAAGCTATTCAGGAAGGGAGATCAAAATTGTGAATATAGAGACATTGAAGAGATAAGAACCCAAAGATTTCATATTGAGGGATCCTTGTGGTGGACATACACTGGCAGCATATTCTTCAGGTTGATTTTTGAAGCTGCCTTCATGTATGCATTTTACTTCATGTATGATGGATTCCGAATGCCACGTCTAGTGAAATGTAGTGCTTGGCCTTGCCCAAACACAGTGGACTGTTTTGTTTCTCGACCTACTGAAAAGACGGTGTTCACTATTTTTATGATTGCTGTGTCTAGTATTTGCATTATGTTAAATGTGGCTGAATTCTGTTATCTAGTGATAAAATGTTTCCTTAGAAGGTCTAGAAGAGCAGGATCTCAAAGACATTCCCCCAGCCTTGAGAATAAAGAAGAAACTAAACAAAATGAAATGAATGAGCTAATATCTGATAGCTGTCAGAACACAGTTCCATCATTTTCAAAGTAGCTAAGGTGATGTGAATGTTGGGATTCACTCTCTTCACAGAGTGAATGCTCTCTTTTTTTAGAGGTTCAGATTAAATCAATTGTATGTAAAATTTTAATATATAATGTCAGGTGGGAATTCTACAACTAATTTAAAAGTCCAGAAAGCATGAAGATGGGAAAACTGAATAAGGATTAAGTAGGATACTACATCTTTTAAGAATATCCTTAACAAGCTGACTATGACAAATGGAAACTCACTAGTCTGTTTATAGTGACATGAAACATAAAAACAGTGTGTTCAACAGCCACAAGAACAAATCTGATCTGTTTTCAAGCTAGATACTCTAGTATCTAGCACCTATAGCAGTGATAGGTTTTTACTCACTTGTGAACTTTTCAATTAAAATATTTTTGTAAAGTATGAGATTCCTTGTTACTTAAAGTGTTATAGTGTATAACTGAGTAGTGTGTGTTTGTTTTGGGGTTTGTTTGTTTGTTTTTTGGTTTTGTTTTTTTTTTCCAAGACCAGCAAATGCAACCACTAATGCCATTTTAATAGAGAGAGATTAGTTTAAGTATATCAACTTCAAACATAGACCAGGTCCTGCTGTAAATAATTCTGTTAGTATTTTTATATTACAAACTGCCAATGTTATGAAATCATAGATATTATTGAAATAAGCCACCTATGTTTTCTAATGAATTAGACATGTTTTATTTCATGTACTGTATAAGGCTATGGAACCTGGGGGGAGGGGGGGGGTTTGTTTGTTTAGACTGTACACTGAGAATGCCAAAATGGTGTGAAATTAGGGACTTACTAGTTCCCTAACTAATAATGTGGAAAAGCTGGAATCTGAGCTGTTTTTTGAATAAAAAGCAAATGCTAGAACTTCTTGCAATGGAGTGTAATTCTTTTTTCTGTGAGGTATGTCGGTGACCTATGACACACTGGAATCTTTGTTCTGCACTTCTATTACCTGCTTATAATTCAGTTTGTAAAGTCCTGGTTGTGAAAGTAAAATACATGAGGCTAGCCTGCACTACCCCTGAAGCTTAACCCGTTTGTAACACCTCGCCAAGATGTGGTAGAATGGTTTCTTTCAGAGTTAGCGGGGAATTGAGACCATCTTCCTGTTGTGTGTATGTGAAGTGGTAGAGCACCTGCATTCAATCCTAATCATGGTCATCTGCTTTTGGGAGGATGATGGTGCCCAAAGTGAGGGAGGGAGAGGGAAAAGGAAAAGTGGATCTGCAGTACACTGGCAATATGGGAGGGGACTTTTTCTATGAGCTTCTCACTCGCCTTTTGTGAATCTCTGGGTCCAACTAGTTTTGAAAAAATAGTTGTAAATCCTTTGACTTCAACAGTTACTCCTCTTTACCCTAGCATAAACAGCAGCAGAATCTGATCCAAGAGATTTTATATTATGATGACCTGCCTTGAGTTGACCAGAGTGATTTACAAGAGAAAACAAACAGCTACTTAGAGCAGAAGGTGAACGAATGAAGTTGAGCATAGGTCCTTAACTCTCATCTTCCCTTCCACTGATAGAATCCATTCCTGATCTTTCAGGATTTCCTATGTCTTTTTGTGAAAAGACACTGCTGTGATTTTTTTTTCTTGGTATACTCACTGGCAAATACGTGAAAATGCCAAAATTACAGGAAGTAAGCAAACAAATTGGATTTATTCTTTCTTCCTCCTCTAAGACTCTTCAGTGGGAGTGAGATGTTATAGGTTTTTAATCCTGTCCTCCTTAACTGTAGCTCCAGAACTCTGCCGACACCTTTTTTATAGGGTAAAGGTCTGGGGAATGATGTAACTATCTAAACACCCATTTTAGAAGGAATAATGGAGCCAGCGCATTGGACATCATTCAGATTTTTCTTTTACCAGTGAATTAACATGGCCCTGGAGTTCAGATACCAAAACAATACATGGTTAGCCTGGATGAAATAATCTTGTGCTAAATCATAATCCTCAATGGATTTTTATCCAAAAAATGCTGTGAATAATACCAGACAAAACATATGCACAGATGTCACTTGGATATTCCTAGGCATAATCATTAACCATCTTCAGTTATCTGATTGAAATAACCTTTACTCTCTGCTGTAAGGAAAGTTCCCCATAGTTCAACTACAGTTTCCTTAGCTGAGGTATGAGGTTTCTTCAGATTTACAACTGGGTAAAGAAAACTTAAATCCCAAGATTGGCATGTGGCAATAACTGGGCTTCTTTTTTTTCCCCCCACTCAGTTTACAAGATTTATAAACAGCTTTTTTAATTCTAGTTTTCTTGCAGAAAACTGCAGCTCTTCCAAATGTTTTACATGAACCCCTGGTAAGTAGGCAACAGAGTAATATGGTACTTACCTAAAATTTCAACTAGTAACATGAATAGAATTGTAGAACTCAGTCCTACATATACTACATTCTCTTCTATATGCCACACCACTACGTTCTGTGCTCCCAGCAGTAAAAATAAAAAAAGCCCTTATAACCAAACTGTCCATTCTACATTGGGAGTTATCATAAACAAAGAGCCAAATGCTATATGAATTGACTTCAACAAGGTTGTTCCGTCATCACCAGTAGGACTCTGGTGATAAAGATCAGGGTTGCCTCAACTAGTGATCTGTAAGGGATTACTCCATGGCCCCTGGGCTCCTGATCCAAGTGCTGCATGGAATCCGTTGCTTTCTTGCTGACGCTGTCACATGTTTTGTCTTCTTCACCCTCCTCCAGTTTCCTCTTCCCACCCAGGAAGCTTGTGGCTTGGGAAACTTGGAGAGGAGGGGTGGAGGGGGGGGCATTGCAGCCCTGACATAGATGATGAAACTATCAAACTGTTCCCTATATCCCTTTCACTTTTTGAAACTACCCTTCATCCAGAAAGGGGCATGTCCACTGACTTCTGTTGATTACACTGAATAGTCGTTCAAGTACCTGAGCACTGCAATACAAGTTTACCCTCCTTCACTGTGTTAAGGTTGAATGTCTTAGTTCTGCACTATAACGGAAGTACTTGCAATAGCAGTCATTCTGCAGCTTTCAGTGGGCAAATCTCCATGAGAGATTTACTGTGGAGCTGCCTAATTAGCTGTGAAGTGAAGTCTCAGCACCTACACATGCAGCCTTATTAGACCATGGTAAACTAATGAACTCTGCTGTAGGTTAGTACTTGTGCTAACTTACGGCAAGTTAGTTGTTAGTTACTTGTACAAGTGCTATCTTACGGCAGTTTTTTTTAGTGCGTAGCAATGCACATATAGATACTGACAGGGTTGGCTGGGGGCAAGAGGACTCCCTGCCAGCTAGCCCCGGACTGCTTCACCCTCGTGCCCCAGCCAGCCCTTCTGCAGCACATTGAGACAGGTCAGAGCAGCCCCGAGTTGGCAAGCTGACCCCAGGTCTCCTGCCAGCCGGGGCTGCTCCAACCCAGTTCAATATGCTGTGGTCCTGGGTACACATGTAAACGTTGTGCCCAGGAACAATAAACTCTGGCGATTACTGAATCAAATTAATTTCACATGTAGATGTGCCCAGTGTCTGACAATCTGCTTC